ATCAGATGATGTGTCATCAGTGGATCGTGTCCTTGTCGGTCGATCGTGTACCCAAATGATTGCACCATGTCGATCCACTCCGATGATTGCGTAATCCTCACCGATGATGACGTAATCACTGACGCACCGCCGTCGACCATGAGTCTCAGGGCTGGATCGGGTCGCTTCCCATCAATCAGTTTTCTTATTCACGAAAGCCAACTGGCGCTTCACCACACGACTTTCGCGTTGTTCCATCCAAATTGCCAGCAGTAGGTAGCAAATAGAGCCAACTGGTACGAGTGTCGGCTGGGGTTTTCTGGTAACTATTTCGAAAAATTAAGCCGCTCGCACCACTAGGACCACTGGCTCCAGGTGCTGTTGTATTTTGACTTTGAAATCGCGGCCAGCGACTGGGTTTGAAGCTGCTCGAAAACTTGATGTAGAGTTTCCTGCATTCCTTCGGTACTGGTGTCAGAGTCCATGAAGAAGAAAAGTTAGTCCAACGTGTTTTATGTGGTTCGGTCGAAGCTCTTGAAGCTGCGTCGGCCATCAGATTTGTCGATCCTGGTAGGTGCTCGGCTGACACCCTTACGTTGAAATAGGCTTCTCCTAAGCCAATACACCGATTGATCTCCTGACTAAAGGCATTGTTGGAATGTAAGTGGTTGCACCACGACACCACAGCTTTGTTGTCACTCCAGTACTTGATGCGGATCAAGCTACCACTGACTTTGTTATCCCTCATCGGCCCCCACACCCAAATGGCCAAAGCCATACACAAATGTTCTCGTACATTGATCGAAAACTCCGAATCTGCTTGATTTATCGAAGCGAGTTCATCATTGTCGAATTTGAGCTGAATGAATTGGTCCATGACGGGAATAAGTCTAGCTAATCCTTCATTCGATGCGTCCAAGAACAATTCCACGTCAGGTGCTGGCATGCTGCCGAACATAGATAGCGGTAATTCAGCAAAACAACCATGATGTAGTATCTGTCGTAGCCAAATTACGTCGTCTTTGGCCCCGTCGGATAAACGTACTCTACCAAAACGAGGGGTACTCGTACATTGGCGTTGGAGTCGTTGATAGAATGGACGCGCAGTTGGCAAGCACAGTGAAATGTGACGAAGAGACCCCAAAACCTGGTGAAATTCTGTCTTCGACGCCGTCCCTCGTCCGATCAATTCCATAACACGCTGAAGAGCTTTGGCGATTTTGTCTTGTGGTATTGATACCGTTCGCCGAAGCGTATTCCACAAAAGACCCAATGCTACTAGCTCTGAACTCCAACTCGAAAATTTTGACTCGTTAATCGATCGTGGCCCCAGAACTGCTAGCATGGCATGCCTCAAGGTTGCTTTTGAGAGCTGCAATCTTCCGTCAACGTCTGGTTCTACCAATATGTGATCATCTACCCATTCATAAGCAAAAAATGGTTCTGTATCCTCCGACTCCGACACTGTTGCAGGACAATTTGCGGCCATCAGCCAAGAAATGGCACGTCCAAATTACGCGTAGCATGGGGGAGACCCTGCCCATCCAAATGGTGCCACCATACCAATGATGATAATACCCAGTTCCTTCAAGCATGCAGCGATACAAAAAACTTGATTCGCCCGAACACGTAAGTGGCGAAAAGCACCTTTCACATCGCCCTTCAACATGAAAATACGCCCCTCATAACCGGAGTGAGTCAAATTCTCAATTCGACGAGCAATCCGTACGACGGACTCGTAACAAACTCGTGGCACCGAATCCGTTATAAATGATGAATTCACGGAGTCGTTCTTAGGGAAAGAGAGGTCATGACTTGTTCGCACTGCCTCGTTTGGGTCGGCGTCCTTCTTTTCGACGGCTCCAAGTGGACTGTACGCAACTTCAGGCCGGTGATCCATTAAATCGATATCAACAACCATGTACTGCCCTGCGTCTTGGCCGTCGCGAATGCTTCGAGATACCGCACGTAGATGCCGTCGGCACGATCCGTGATTGTTTGGCGGTGGTCGTCGTGCTTCCGGTCCCGATCTCCATTCCACGTCAATGCCGTGCTCTGCTATTTTAATTAGAGGATCCAAGTGAGGGTACCCATATAATACCGTTCGCAGTCGATAAGGATCCAATGCTTTATTCGGTCTGCCATCTTCAATGGCTTCGCCTCGTAAAAAGCGAGTAGTTTCACGTAAGCTCAGTTTATCTCGACGAATGATTATGGAAAGCGACTCGCAAGCGCATTTGTTGATCGTGTACGCCGGTGATTCTGCTCGAAATTCTCGTACAAAACCACGCTTTTGATGACAGGCCGATATTTGGCATTCCTCTAGAAGCAATGTTGCCTCCAATACGGATTGTATCGTCCTGGCGGACCCTAACGTTAGTGGTTTTAACCCATAACTTGCCTTTTGGGACAACGACTTTGCCCTGATCGTTGCCCCAGACTGACCGTCAAATGAAGCGCCGATAATGTCTCGCACGGTCCTTCTCGTAATATTTTCTTGGACGGAAATATTCTTCGGACGAGTAATGGTTGGTTTTACCTCCGTACAAGGCCTCAACGGACGACCACCTAGACTCCCCCGTCTAGCGCACTGTTCGATATCGTCAAAGCAACATTCGGTGCCAACGATAGGGAACGGGCCTTTGCGTCCTTCTTGCTCTTTGTACTCTGTAAATGACCGTAGCATGGAAGACACTCCCTCTTAATGTGTGCGATTCCAGTTGGAATAGTCGAGCTCAAAATTGGTTGAAGCAATTCGAGAAGAGATTGTGGTGTTGAACGACAAATTTGAGAAGCTACAGCCGATCCCTTCGCTAGCCTTCAGAGCCGCTTATGCTCGTTCTTAAGGCCACCGAAACGCTTGTTTATCTCAGCCTTCACCACATCGTGCAACGTATTCGGTATGAAGTGTCCATGCTCGCTCGGGCAGGCGCCGTCTTTTTCGGTGCAACCGTACTTCGATAAGTACCGCATACATAACGCAGTGGTTTCGCCTGTGGCCGGGTCCACCTGAACAGGTAGCCGTCTCAGGACATCTCTTGGAATGCGCCCTAATCGTTTCTTCTCAGCCAACGACGGTTGTTGTCGTGATGCAGCCGCGGGCCTTTGCTCTTGGCACCGCGTATCTTCAGCCACCGTCTCAGCACGGAGAGTGTCCACTTGCCGGTGCACTTTCACAAACATTAAGTCCTTGAGCAAACGATCGTCGGTTGAGCAGCGCGTGCGTACTTGTCTGAAGCCGTCCCCATTCTCAGCTGCACCACGAAATTCTTCTAGTAGGTCATTAATCCAGTACACTAGTGACGCCACCTCTGCTTCGCTCCACTTCACCCGCATTAGTGTCTCTTCAGTGAACTCGACAATTCTTTCGGCGAGCTCAACTAGTTCCGCACAGCAGTACTCGTTTCTCTGGTGCACGTTTCTCTTCAACGTCCAGATCCGTTGAGCGTCTATTACCTTCTCTGGCAATATCGCTGTGTTTTCCTGAAGCCTCTCGTACTTGTAGAAAACGATCCAGCAGCTGGGGATCCCCACTCAGCTTCTCGACAATGAGCGCATCGTGGTTTAGCGCAGTTCGATGGCGCTGGTTTGTCATGGCACCGTGTGGTAAGACCCCAAACTCCCTTGGTTGATCCCGTGATCGTTTCTTACTTGCTGCATGCTCGTGGGGCCTGAGCCTGGTTTGTTCATCTACTGAAGCGCCGACAGGAAGTCCATCGTCGTCGTCCACAAACGGATCAAAAAGCCCAGCTAGTTGGTCTCTATCGCTATTTTTAGCGCTCTTACTGGGTAACTCCTGCCGAAGTTGTTGAACAGGGGGTGGAGAGAACGATTCTCCGATAGTAGCTGGTATGGGTTCAACTCCCCCCATCAACATAATATGCAAAATCCAACGCATGCTGTAGTGTAAATTCCGCCTGTTCACCAGTTCCAGGGTCAATCCAGAAGCACACTTGCGAGGCTAAAGGTCATGCCTCCTCTGCCATCGTACCCTCCAAAACTTCTGGGAGCGAATTGGTATCCGCTCCGTTCAAAAATACGGTCCAAGATCGTGCTTCCAATGTCCTCAATTTCACTTTCTGTCCACTCGTCCAGGTTAAATCGGACGTGTTGTAATATGATAGCAATTATCGGAGCCACAAGTGATGCAGAGCCAATTGCGGTGACAAATTCCAATCCACCGGACCTAACGAATACCTGGTCTCCGTCCACTTGTACCACTTGTCCAAAATGAACCAGTTTAAGGAACAGCTACAGGCCGCCTTAGGTATTAGAGCTGTCCCGATCGAGTTACTTCCTTGGTAGTGACAACACGTTCAGCGACCACATCACGGGGAGTGTTCCTTCTCCACCTTCTAAGCTCTGGAACGTGACTTCGTCTCGATTGAGCTCGGTTATTTGGGCATAAAACGGATGGTCGAAGTTCCCAACGACCAATTCCGGCAATAAGTGGAGGAAGGAGCGTGACGTTAAGCAAACCATGTTCGTAGGACTGATAGCTGAAAGGTTTGGCACGAGGACTTATGCGTGGGAGAGTAAATCTGAAACTAACGTGCGACTTCTCCTACGATCTCGCGTGTTGGTTTCATCTTGTGCCACCTCCTCTGAGAAGCTATTTTCCTTCTCAACAGGAAAATTTCCATTTACTGTAACATGTAGATCATTTCTTTATTATTAACGCTTTCGTGAACGGGTACTTTTGGCCTCGTTATATTATACTATTGCAGGTCAAGCCATTAGACCGTCAAGGGGACATTTTGCCCCCTTTCATGAGTGACATGAGTTGTACTCGAGGATACACCTTCCAAAGGGTGTAAAATACCCCAATTGACCACAAAAGGGTTTAGCAACATTCTGGAGGCCCCAGCACACATATTCATCCGGCTATGGTGATCTTCACTAAAGCAGATCAAAACTATCCAATTCGAGGTATCCAAGATAAGGTTCAAGTGGGCCAAAGTGGATGGACTGAGACATTTTTTGCGAGTATCTGATTGAGCCTTAAGCACAACAACCTGACCAGCTAGGTTGAAAGAAGACGATTTTTTTTTCCGGATAACTGCTCGGGGCATCTTAGTGAAGATGAGTGTGCAGAAGCGCTTCAAGCTCTTAACACGATTCTAAGATGCTTACCGCCAAATGTAATGGACCTTTGTCAGCCCGCGGACGCGTTTACAATAGCTAAAATCAAATATGGATTGCGAAACCTATAGAACATCACGAAAATCAAGCTGATTGAAACTGCACAATGGCAAAATAAGTCGTAAAAACAGTAATTGCTCTAGAAAACAGTAAACCCAACAAACGTTTCTTTTCTTACTCTTGCAACAAAAGCGGTCCGTCCTGTCAACACCCACATTGATCCAAAAATGAAAATGAACTATGCACGTAAGGCAACGACCCACTGTGGTCTTTCACAGAATATGGATGGTGTCTAGCGCGTAGAGCAGCTATTCCCCCAACTGCAATATATATATATATTAAGAAATAACGGAGTGAATTTGCTAAGGCTCAAGTTGATTCGCAGAAAAGACCAACCTCCCTGGCCACGATGGTGTCATCGGATAATGGTCTTTTCGATTCTGAATAACGAAACAGCCGTAATGGATGATTTCGAGTCTGCATCAGCACTAAAGACAGTGTAGTCTTCCCACACTAGGATTTGCATTTCGTATTTGCAGCCTTGCCTCTTCGTATTCTAAATTGAATATAACACCTGCCGTACCTAATACCTGGAAATAAAAGCATGTTTCAATAAATGAGGTTTGTGTCGCTGCATAATTGATTTTGATTATATCATTTGTGGCTCCCGCTCGATACCTTCGATTAATATGTACATTTGCCGGTCATATCACCGGACAGATAAATTTGGTTTTGGTACATATACGGAACTGATCATATTAATGAACATTTTGTTGATAATCAGGTTGTAGAACAGGCTCTTGCTTATTCTTATGAAGATTGATCTAAGTGTCTATCATCGTAAGTGTTATGGATGGCTACTTTGTCACCCTTGACCGCCGCCACCATGCGTGGAGCCCCCACCAAAGTGGCTCTACAGCACCACTTTTGGCGCAGCTTACTTCTCGTCCGAGCTGCCATCGTCAACAGCGACCGACTTGCCATCCTCCGAGTCGACATCAATGTCAAGCGGGATACCAACAGGTATAGGTAGCTAAATTGTCTCTGTTGGGGAATGGCGTGCACGGCCGCATGTAACGTCAGCGATTCAACGGATGTATTCAGCTGACAGTGTCTTGATGGCACCAATAATTGTTGTCATTGATGGTCATGGTGTTGGAAAGCGGCTATTGAGCTCCCGATTAAACCGCTTGAGCGGGTTATTCGTGCAAGCAACGAGCTTGTTGTTCATCCCGTGGACATTCCAACATCTACCTCGTACTGCTCCAACTACGTTCTAGCAAAATAACTCCAGACTCCTCGCTCCTTTGCTTTTGAATAGGAAATACCAGCGGCTGCACATCGCTGATGAATCTCTCATGACCCACCGCATCCCCTCTTCCACCTAAGACGATTCAATCGCAGCTAGCATGTCAAGAGCGCTCTGTGTCACGACAATATTACACTCTTCATCTGGAATTGCAAACTGCTCCATTGCGCACCTCTGCGCTTGTTGTAGATGAAAAAGACAGCCGTAAACAATTGCATTCGGAAGTTGAGTTTGAACAGCACTCATAAGAGCACTCTCAAGGTCGCAGATAACTTTAGCCGGTTGGATATTCGGGTCGGTAGCCTGGACCACAAAGTGTAGCATGTCCCAATAGGTACCCCCATTCTGGAGTACTGAGGTCAAAGTGGACAGGCACAAATATGTCGTGAACCATGAAGACGACACATGGCTTGCAACAGCGGGGTAGGCAGCGGAATGTACCATGGAGGAAGAGTTGTTCCATTGTTGCGTAAAAGGTTAACTAGTGACAGATGGACTCTGTCAGACAAGCGCGTTGCCTTGCACAGTTGAGGGTCACATAGTGAAACTGAAAAAAGTAGGGCGTCGTTCAGGGCAAATGAAGAAGCTTTCTTTTTAATTTCAACATCTTCATGCATGTCGCCGCTGAAATGCAGATTGCACCCTCGGTGGACGCGCCGAAGGACTTGCTGTTGGAAAGTCCGCGTATTACGGTGTTTTCCTCAGCCCAATAACTCGCTTTGAATCTCTTCCCATATTTGCCTCGCCGGCGGGGCGACTTGCTTGATCGCAAACGTATCAACACGGGCTATCATTGCGTCCGTGACGTCGACAGGAGTGTTGGCGATAACGGTACTACGGGACGCCGGTTAAAACATTCTTAAACAATGTTATAAAACTGTTCTAAATGTACTAAAATCCTTGAAATATTTCATACAGATAATAGAACGATATTTAGAACGAATTATCCGTCGGCACATGTTCTAATTAGATAGATCATTTAGCATTGCTATTGACCTAGTTTAGCGAAACCAGTCACTCGAACTCATTGAACTCGAGAGGGATACGAGGCTCCACTTCTGGGGCGTGAGCTGTCGGTTCACGTCGTTTATGCTTCACGTCTTCAATCAGCCGCACGTATCGACGCCGTCTTTTGCAATTTTGACAAAAGATAGCAAACTTGGATGTTTCACCGAGAAGCGATCACCGAATGCTCGATTGTAGTTCTCCAGCGGGTTGTTTGTTCGATTATGGAGGTTGCTACTGGACGCAGCCATACTATCCACAATCCAGAGATCCACGCCGTAAGTAGTTATCCAGGTCTTGCGGAGTTAGCTCCAAATGGCGTCCCACTTTGTTTTGCTTCCAGTTTCGTCCACTCGTCGGATTCTCTAAATAAATATATAAATAGCATTTGACAATTACTAAAAAGGAAATAGAAATGGGTACCTTGTTGGCGATTTGGTCCACGGGAATGATTGTGAGCACATCGATGACACCAGGCGCAAGAGCACCAGCAATCTAGTTAAGGGGATTTTGCTGCTCAATCATTTTGCGCCATAGTGCCTGTGTCCAGTGAAATAGCCATCCATCGATCTTGACCAGTGGAAATTGGTCCGTAATAGCGTTCATAAGGCCTCGCTCGAAACAATCGCTGGCTCTAGAAAACGGTCTGTCCGAGCACTGGCGGTAGAAATGGTAACCCTTACACTTCATGGCTCACTTATGACTGGTAGCAAGATTAAAGATGAAAGCGACAGTCAAAAAGAAGTTTTCTAATGGTTGGTGCTCGCGTTTTAGCACATTAACTTTTTTGTTTAGTATGACTGTAAACTATCTATTTAGGTATTTCATAACAGATTGGGGTGTATTTATCTAGAAAGCCCCCATTTTCGTAATATATTTTAGTACATTTAGAACATTATTAGATCAGTATTAGGAACGTTTTTTTTTCTCGCCCCTACAACGGCACGTGTGGGGGCACATGGTGGAGTACCCCCATCGAAGCTATGGGAAATCCCATGGTCCCGCGGCAGCCGTTAAGGAACTTTGAGCATAAAAACGATATTTTCTTTACTGACAACCAGGCTCAAGTGTATTTGTAGCTCCGAAAGTAGCATCTAGTCTGCTCTTCATTCCCTGTACGGACAGCAGGGTGTGCACCGACGCCTCCATGCAGTTCCAATTGATCAATTCTCGCTACTTGATCAGCCTTCTCCTCCACCAGGTTAAATGCCACTATGGTCTTAGCAGCCTCCATGTCCTCGATAGCCGCCGCTGCCCACTCCACGTTTGCTCCATCTTACAGAATGAGTTGTTGTCCTTGCTCGTCAAGTATTCAGTTGCTCTTCGCCCTACACTTCTCACAACAGATAATTACGAAGCACATGACTGTCCAGGAATCTGATTTGTACCGTATATGGTCCAATCTGGAGCCAACCACCCGACACAAAACAAAAGGATGCACTTTACACTTTTGGGAAATAGTCTTTGATATTACACCGCGACGTTGGATTGTGTTCTAATGATAATATTTTAGGTAAGAGCTTAATTAGTCTTTGTCTGACTAATTGTTCCTCACCAAATTTAGTCTGGTATCAGAATTAGTCACAGTCAAATCGAGGTGAAGACAACGTCGATGATATCATACAAATTAGTCTGAGTAAAACTAAATACTGTACTAATAGTAAGTGAAGCATGATTTTCCTTAGCACATGTGATTTACGGCGGATTTCCGAGCCGTGACACCCGTCTCAAACCTCATAACATGGATCTTTGTTTCCAACTTGGATTGAACATTTTTGGCAACTTTACGTGTTCTCAGTTTGATCTTTAACCTATTTCGGATAAAGACATCGGCTGTATCAACGGCTTTTGAAAAACTCATTCAGGTAGTGAGCCAATTTCTGACATCATAACTAGCTAACCGGTAATTTTACAACATAAAAGGGCTTTTGCGCGCTGAGTACATGTAAATTCCGATGTGAGTACTATTAAATATGAGTTTTATCGTTCGTGTTCTTGACCACTGGAGAGCGTGCCTTGCGCAGTCGAGTTCATTGTTCAAACCTGCAAGATAGCGTAGCGGTTTGAAAGGTTTGTGCACAACAGGGAATAAATATTCCTATATTTCTAAGCTATTGTAAAGGGCCGGTCTCTAAGGATTAATGAACTGCTCTGAACCCTAACCCACAGGCTGTGGCATCTCCCTCCACTCGCTTATGCGGTGCTGCTGTTGATGCGTGCGATTATTCAGTGGATGTCTACCAAAAATATATTAAGTACCTTACATATCTGCAGCAGATAAACCGCTCGATATGCCGGCATAAACTTTATTTAGACGATAAAATCGTCTCAATAAACAGGTGTCTTTCCGATCATATGCCGTGTACCCACATTAAACGTTATGCTACAAATTTGTATTGTTTATGCTGATCGTCACTCTTCTGCAACGACCGTTACTCTGTAGTGACATATATCTTCTTTTTTTTTGCGACTTTACGAGGAAGCGCTCAGTCTACAATCTGCATCTGGAGGTGACAGGTGAGTGCTATACAAACTTTAAATTGCTTTTAGTGTGTATTTTAACAAACACTTGTATTTGCAGCCATGGTTCATCTTGGGCATTCCGCACTGCACTGGAAGCTTCGGTGCATTCAAGATTCGTCGGGCAGCGAGGACGAAAACGTCCCGCCCAACGTTTCACGTTTGTAGAGCGCCGAGAGCAAGACCTCTACGCAAAAGAGCTGCGACGGCAAGAGCGGTGACTACAAGAGCTGCGGCGACAAGAACTGGGACGACACGTCTTGTACTGGAACCACCACGCCTCCGTGGATGTCGCCGGGCTTCACGGATTACGGCTACTCCAGGAGCAATACGAACCCGCCATCGCCATCGCCATCGCCATCACCGCCTCACTCGCCGTCTTCAGCGGCGACAGTGCTTTTACCTTCGCGTCGGCCTCTGGAGGTGGCCAGTCCGACGACTTCAGCGCCTGTGATGCAGGAGACAACTCCACGGCCGTCACCGCTGGTGGGTACTCGCACGAAAGCCCTGCAGAGCTGTCGATCTCGCCGCGAGGGTGCGGCTCCTTATTCTCGACCCCGTCTCTTTCACGACCAGAAAGGACACTCGGTCACTAACCCGAGTGGTTGCATTCGGGCTGCGAACGTGGAGCCTACAGGTCCAAGGCTACGATCGGGTCGAACCGCGGACATGCTCGTTCCTGTGCTCTGGCCCCAGGAAGTTGCTTACTTGCGAGAGCAGTACAACCCAATGGCGGAGGTGGTTCCTGCGGTTCTTCATTTTGGCTCGTGCAACTGCCATGACGCGTGCCGTTTCGACACCTGCCGCAATGCCCTCATGAACGTGTACTGCAACATGAACTGTTGCCCGTACGAGGGCATGTGCGGCAATGGCCTTCAGAAGTCTAACAAGGTGTAGTTGGCTCGCAATCTACGGACGTCTTCGTTGGGAGTGGCTGCGGTTGAAGGCATCGAAGCGGGAGAAAAATTGTGCGTTCTTCTACGAGGATCTCGGCGCAGGGAGCTACAAGTGCAAGGAGTGCTGTATCCCGAGAAAGCAGCAGATCAGCAGCGGTTATTTCAACTTGATGTCTCACATCGCTACCAAGCACCCGCACTAGGAGGAGACGTGCGCAGCGGCTACTGGTGGTGGCGGGCTCGAGAGTTTTGGCTTCGTGTCGCAGGAGATGAACTATCGCTTCCAGTGGTTGCAATGGATCGTCGAGCGCAATCTGCCCATCACTGAGGTAGACAACGAGCTCACACTCTCGATGAGCAAATGGCCGCCCGTTTTTTCCAAGACCTTGAAGAAATGCATGCACACAGTGGCAAAGGACGTGGGGGCAGCCATCGAACACGAGATAGGCACCTCCTTTGCTCTGATGTTCGATTGCTGGTCTCACGGATCAGTACAATACGTCGGACTATACGATGTATACGAGATGATGGGGACCCGGCGTGAGCGACTACTATCCTGTCTCTTCTGGACGGCAGCCAAACAGCTGAAGATGATGAAGGCCGTGCTTCGCATCTACAACAAGACTACCGACATGGTAACTTTTATTGTGGGTGACAACTGCAACACCAACCAGAAGATCGCCACACTTCTCGGCGTTCCTCTGGTTGGCTGCGCCAGCCACAGGTTCAACCTGGTTATCAACCCCTTCCACGCTGAGTACGAAGCCGAGCTTGCCACCATCAACGACTTGATGATCCAGTTACGTCACTGCAACAATGCAGCTAGACTTGGAGAGCTCACGGACTTGCAACCTGTCAAAAGGAATGCAACCCGCTGGTCATCGACTTACGCAATGGTCGACCGTTATGTTCGCATTCGTGATGCTATTCGACAGGTTGAGGCTGCGGAGGATTATGTACCAAGTGGTGTTTCCCACAAAAAAATGGTCACTCTGCTTGCCGAACTTGAAAAACACGACACTGTGTGCACAGCCCTTCAGCATGAGCGCACCACGCTTGCTGATGTGCGACTTTTGTTCGCCAAGGTGATTGCATACTACCCGATAATGGCGGATCACCTTCGTGCTTCGGCTAAGATTGTACATTCTCCTACCTTCGAGTCTGCTCTCGTGAAGATCGGCAACGGGGACACGTTGGCGACCACCGAAGCCCGCGCAGTCAAGTCCTTCGAGGTGGCCAACGACGCCGAGGGAGATGGAGAACGTGGAGGACCGGGTGCCAAGGGGAAGAAGAAGCTACGTTGTGACTCCGCGCACGCCATTTTGCACGATGGCAAGAAGCGCCGCGTACCAAGACTCGCTACTCGGCGCTGGCGAGACTGGTGCCACCGACCTCGAACACGGTCGAGTGACTGTTCTCGACGTGCAAGTTGAGCATGACGCCGTAACACAATTGCATGCTGCCGGCGAACTTCGAGATGATCGCCTTCTTGCGCGTCAATCGCAAAATGTGGAACGCGTCGACTCTCATTGAAAAGGAAGAGTAGGTAGGCGGTACGATCATTGCTGACTGCAATATATTGTTATTGGCCCAGTTATTGATTATTGGCTTTGTATGCTATTGCAGTTATTACTACTGCTAGTCACTTGTCCCCAATTCTGGATGTTACTTTATTGTCCGAGGCCTGCGCCGAGGACAGGAGATTACAGCGGACTACTGCGATGGCTTATGGTTCATGTGCCGCTGCAGGAGCGCTAGTTGCCGTCATGGTGACATCCAGGACAGCAGCGATCCTTAGCGACGTCGTCAACGAGCGAGGTGAAGACGTCGAAGGCTTCAAGTTGAAGGACAGCACCAGGATTTCGAAGGCTAACATGTTTAGGTATCAATTTGGTTCGTTTGTATGATTTTCAATATACTCGTTGTTTAAGTTTTTTTTTGTATTGAAGTTAGAGATGTTTGAAGTGTAAAATATTTTTGCGAAAGGTCGCTGTTTGCTCGAGAACTGTCCATTTCCACACCAACCGTTCCGGTATCGGCTTGAACTTCGTGATAAGGATTCACTGCTGACTTTCGTGCGACGACAAGCGCGAGGTTTTTGCGCCTTCGGCCTAGGCGCCAAATCCAAGAAGGTCTGTATTTGACTAAATGCGGAGATCTGTTGTTGGCCCAAGGTGACAGCGGTTTCGAGGTGTGGTGGATTGACTCGCCTGGACTCTCATTTTTTTCCTTTTGTTGCGACCAGCCTCCTTCACAAGACCTCAAGCCTTCAAGCAACTCTCACCGCATGGGCAAAAACAAAGGCAGTTCAAACTACAAGATGGCGGATGTAAACCGCCTTTTGGACTTGGTGGAATCGTACTTGCCGCTTGGAAAGGACGAGTGGGAACGCTTGGCCAGCAAATTCAACGCTACCCGTCCGCGTAGCTGGGCCGAACGGGGCTTTGACAGCCTCCACCGAAAGTACAAAGCTCTCTACAGTACTCGTAAGCCGACTGGGAAAGCCAACATCCCACCCCATATCGAGCAAACGAAGGAGCTGAAGAGGGCCGTGGACGAGAAGGTCAACGTCGTCGAGATGGACGACTGTGCTGGCGTAGACTCTGATGAAGACCCGGACGAGGAGAATGACGAGGAAGAAGAACGCCGCATCGAGCCTGACTTCAGCTTCGACCACGAGCCGGACGGCTCACTCTTTCATGATCGAGGCGGCGATGGAGGTGCCGTCGATGGCGGAGTCGATGCATCGAACAGCGCGTCTTTCGCCATCTTCACCGGTACTGAAGCTTTGGCAGTTGATGTTGAAAACCGACCCCCCCCCCCTCCCAGGGTGATGAGGCTGCGCGTATCAACACGCAAACCGTCTTCGACGTTCGGGTGGGTGTGGACGGCCTGAAAGCCGAAGAAGACCCGATTCACCAGCGTCTCAAAGTCGAAAACCGTGAAGCCCAAGTCTGGACAGCGAGTCGGCAACCGAGACGAGACTGGAACACGCACATCCACCACGTTGCAATCTTCATCCAACTGCCTTGAAGGAGCTGACTTGCGCTCATTCCGGTCCAGCCTCGAAGCGAAGCGATCCTTAGAGGACGTTGATCTGGAGTGCGCTGAGGCAAGCTTTGCCAAATCGAAATGCGTGAGAGCCTTGAATGCAACGGATACTCTCCGACAGAAGGTGGCTTCGATCCAGAACGCTTCCACCAACAGGAGAGGTGGGGGGGGGCTATGATGAAAATGATGCTAATCCTCCGTGAGGAGACAAAAGCGGGGGCACCCGAGCCGATGAAGAACCACGCCGCCGCGACGAACTTGTCGCTCGTGATGAGCGCTATAAATCCGAGAAGAAGGAAGCGGAAGAGCATCGTCGCCAGGAAAGTCTTGAGAGAGAAGAACGCGTTCCCGTGACAGGGAGGACGCCTGCGCACGCACCCAAGAGCTGGCGGTGCTTATCTGAGCCTTGATGAAGGTGCGGCTGATCAACTCGGTCGAGCAGGGGAATGCAGTGTCCGAGACCACGTTCACACGTGGGTCTGGACAGAGCTTCGGATCAAGAAGTTTGACTCGGAACCCAGAGAGGTATCCGAGTCGTTCCAGGAACCTGGACAATTATGGCGACTCCAGATAATACAACCATCAGCGGCGAAGCAGATGGTCCCAGTCACAAACACTGCATGTAACCAGCCATTATACATGGCGTTTTGGAGATCTGCGTTCGACGGTTGCTTTACCTGAAAGTACAAATAGCAAATGTTAGATAACATCGTAACCAAACGTCTTGGCCATCACAAATACTTACACGGAGATTTTTTTCCGTCAATGAAGCCGAACGTGTGCTTCAACAGCGGGTCTCTGGTCTCCACAAGGCGCGCCAACTTCACTTGTTGTGCGGGCGACGACCACGCAATACGAGCTGGGCCGTACCCAACCAACATTTCTGCCAAAGCCTTCTCGGCAATTTTTAGTGCCCGGAATAAATTGCTGGGAGGGACTCCGAACAGCATGACCAACGTGCTGTTATCCATGGACCCGGTGTAATAGCAGAGGACTAGAGTACTTGATGTAGATATTGAAGCTTCGGTGGACGACCACGCGATGACGGATGAGGGATGTCGTAGAAGTGCGCAAAACGGTGAAGTAGGCGGGAGAATGAAGCTCTGCATTATTGGTATAACGGCAGCAGCTTCGATAACGTTAAGAAAAAGGGAATTGTTTCTCACCGTGTCAGACTCGTTGCATTTATGAAGTTTTTGTCGACGAGAGCGTTGCTCATGCAGAGCAGAAGAGTAGTTGTAGTGTCCTCGCCGTCTTTCATATGTGCTGAAAATCCTCAAAACACCTAATGAGCCAATGAGCCGGAAAGAAAACAAAAGGAAGGTTCAACAGCGCAAAGTATCCGGGTTGAAATGACGGGTACATTAACAATCATAGTAACTTTTACAAGCTGGGACAGTTTGAACAGGACAAACACTGTTGTCTTAATGTATTTGTGGTAGACGCCAAATTCGATAAGTTGACTTATATCTTTTTTAAATCCGCCTTGCAGATACGGATGAATATCACCAATTCTCCGACCTTACTAGGTTTTAGTATGAACATTAATAACCCGTCATCAATTTTATTTTGTAAGATAACCAATCATACGAATTTACAGAATCCTGTCGACCAATCATAACGAGAAGGGTTAGGGTGGTCAAC